GTCTTATTGTTGTTGTTGGCATCGAATTGTGCCTTTTGTAAGTCGCCCTGAGTCCCCCCTCGGGGGTTGAGAAGGGTGGGGTAGAAATGCGCAAAATAAATAAATAAATAAAGATGGAACATCACCCTGTTCCCATTATGAAGGGCAATAGGAGAGACTACTGAATCTTACTTCAGTACTAGCGATAGGACAGCACCTTCCACCTTATCTAAGACCAGCAGCCTAACTTGAAGACTTGCTGGAACTGATCAAACTTTCACAGAAACAAAATATTAAGTCTGGATATTAAGTTTGGTTCCAGGGTCTCCCAGAGATATCAAAATCCACAGATTTTGATATCTCTGGGAGACCCTGGAACCAAACCAGGGGCCCGCTGTATACATGAACAGTAGCATCAGAGTGGAGCACAAGCAAAAATTATTTGAAAAGGCTCGTGATAATTCAGATTTTTTTTTAAAAAAATGTTACTAGAAAAGATACTCATGATCATTTTTACAGACAAAATTAAATAACCAGTGCAAGTTTTCCCAGGAGTAGGAGGAATATGCAATCCATGTAGAAAGAATCTTGTCTTTGGGAACATCTCATAACCTATTTATTTTAAACATGTCTAAGTCACCCTAAATAAACAGATCTTAGGGAAATGTATAATTAAAATAGGTGGTGCAAGAAAAGATAACAGTATAAACAGCTAAAGTTAGACAAGTTAAAACAATTCTAATTTAAATAACATGAAAACCTCAATCAGATGAAGAACAAAACCACAGGCTCAACACACCCTAAATGCAAATAATTGGAGGGCCTTCTTTGCTGTGGAATGCATAGCCAGAAGGAGGCCTAACTAATCCCAACCTTATTCTTATCTCAACACTACTGCCATCAATCAAAGCACCCCTGACAGATGGCCATTCAGTCTCTGTATGAAGACCTCCAGAAAAGGGGACTCTATTTTCCTCCAAGGCAGCATATTCCTCTGCCAAACAGCTCTCATCACCAGAAGTTCTTCCTAATGTTTAGATGTAATCTTTTTTTCCTGCAATTTCTGGTTTCCAGAGCAGCAGAAAACAATTGTCCTCGATACAGAGGTCATGCTGTATATGAAACATAAATTACTTTTATGTGCAGTAAAAACCTTATATCCATACTGGATATGTTTAGACCTGGGCCCATCTTAAATATATTTCATTGTGTACATGTATGCAAATGTATGTGTTCCAAAAATCTGGAAAAAAAGTCTAAAATCTGGTCCCAAATATTTTGGATACAGGATATTCAGCTTGTCTAAATGAAGATACATCTGCTCAGAAGCAAGGTCTTTCCCTCAGTTAAGTATGAAATGCTGACCCTCCATATCCACGGGTTCCACTATCCATAGCTTGAAAAGTTTATATAGGGAGGGACATAAGTTATCTTGAACCTGCAACAGTATTTGCTGTTTTTGCTTTATATTCTGTGGCTGAGTGCAATATTTATGTTTTATATTTTGGATTATTAAAACAGCCAGAAAGTAAGTGCTGTTTTAATTAAATTGTTTAACACAAACTGGGAGTTTGGTTCATCTCTACCTGAATAAGGCAGAGCCCTGGCAATGTGACACTGGCCCTGCGGATGCCTGCCATAGATGTGGGCAAAACTTCAGGAGGGAATGATTCTGGAACATAGCCACACAACCTGGAAAACTCACAGCAACCCAGTGATTCTGTCAAACAAACACAGATAGCTATAACCAATAACAAATCGAAAGTTGCAGACTATTTTCCACGCCGTGCTGTGTTATCATTAGTTATGTTAATCTGTTTACAGTTTCAAATAAGTCACAGGAAGAATATACATAAGATATAAACTTAAATGCTACTTAATTATTTCTCTCCGGAGTTTGTTCGTGGCTTGAAAGCTATCGAGTTACTTTTCCTAATGATATATATTCTTCATCATAATGGAGGTAACTTTTTGTAGCCAGGGTTTGTATCTTTACTCTTTTGTTTGAACTTTCCAAACAAAGGATAAGTATTGAGAAAATATTTACACAGTCTTAGAATTATCCTTGAGAACGTGAACTATAGTCCAAAATAATGTCCATTTAATCCAAAATAATATCTGACAAGAGTTCCCGGGTTGAGATGCCTTGTTTCAGGGGCCTTCTCCTTCTTCAGGATTTCTATGACTTCTTTATAAGAGTGTGTGGTTCACAATAAATCTGTTATCAATGGTATGAAGCTGGCCCTACAGTTCACGTTCTCAAGGACAATTCTAAGACTGTGTAAATATATTATCTAACTTTCAAGCCACGAACAAACTCCGGTGGGAAATAATTAAGTAGCATTTAGGTTTATATCTTATGTATTTTCTTCTTGTGACTTATTTGCAACTGTAAACCGATTAACATAACGAATGATAACACAGCACGGTGTGGATAACAGTCTGCAACTTTCATTTTGTTACCCAGTGATTCTGGCCATGAAAGCCTTTGACAACACATCCTGAAAGCTGTATGTATGTTCACAAGGCTTTCTGCTTGTGCTTCAATAAAATACCATACCTCATGAAGTCAGATCTGGCCATGGTGGTCCACGCCTTAGTCACCTCCAGATTAGATTACTGTAATGCACTCTACATGGGGCTGCCCTTGAAGATGGCTCAGAAATTTCAATTGGTTCAATGGGTGGCAGCCAGGTTACTAACTGGAGCGACCTACAGGGAGTGGTCAACCCCCCTGTTTAAGGAGCTCCATTGGCTGCTATTCATTTTCCGGTCACAATTCAAGCTGCAGATTCTTACCTACAAAGCCCTGAACGGTTTGGAACCCGCCTAGCTGCGTAACCGCATTTCTGTTTAGGAATCCACATGATCTCTTCGATCATCTGGAGAGGCCCTGCTCTCACTCCCACCCCCTTCGCAGGCGCGATTAGTAGGCCGAGGGAGAGCCTTCTCTATGGTGCCCCCCCTGACTCTGGAACTCACTCCCCAAGGATATCAGACAAGCCCCCACATTGGCAGTCGTTAGGAGGAGCCCGAAGACACAGCTGTTCCAGTGTGCCTTCCCTGAATAAAGGAAACAATGCCCTGCTCTGACCAATTCCCTGCAAAATGTCCTAAGAAGCACTTTGACTACCCATTGGGTTGCTCTCCCTACATTATCCTTTAAAACCCTCCCGCTTAGATACATCCTACCTCTGTTCACACCCAGTGTTTATTTAAAAAATTTAATGTATTGTATCTGGCCCGGCCATAGGGTTTTAAAATTTTTGTGTTTTTCAGCTTATACGTGTTATATTAATTGTATTTTATTTGCTTACTGCTTTGTTGTTTTACTGATGTGTTGTTGGGCTTGGCCTCATGTAAGCCGCCCCGAGTCCCCTTGGGGTGATAGTGGCAGGGCATAAATAAAGTATTATTATTATTATTATTATTATTATTATTATTATTATTATTATTATTATTATTATTTAAACACCAGGAATTCATAGTGTTCAGCCATGGGGAGGGGGTTAAAAGTGGTGCAGAGTTGCATTAGTTCAACAGTGTAGGTGTCACAAGGGCAACCGCGGCAGCGATGCCTGCCACGTGGCAGCTGAGATCCTCCCTGTATTGGTTTGGACAGCTCCCGAGGGCCTCTGCCCAGTGGCAATACATAGATCCGGCGCGGAGGAGGAGGAGGGTGTTGGGCCGGGCGGCCGGAGGGCGTCCCAAAGGTGCCCTTCCCGACCCTCCACGTGACCTCGGCGCGCGCGAGAGAGCCAACCGGCTGCAGCAAGGCGGCCGAGCCCCCCTCCCTCCCCCGCTCGAGACTTTCATCCCGCCGCCTCCGCCTGTTTCCATTGGCCGCCGCCGAGGTGGGGCCTTAGCAAAGCCGGCGAGGGCGATCTCCCGCCGGCAGAGAGCCGACGTCATCAGCCAGAAGCCTCCTCGCCCTCCAGCATCCTGACCTCGACCTCCCCGAAATAGACCACCTGAGCCCGTGACTCAGGGGTTGTCTCGCGGCGCAAGCGCGCTCTGAGAAGGCGCCCGAGTCTGCTTCCTCTGCCTTCTTTCTCCCCGTCAAGCTTCCTTTTCCTCCTCCTCATTGGAAGCGCGAGCGAACCCAGGGCTCCGAAGCTTCCCATTGGCTGCGGGGCGCACGCGCCACGGACGCGCCACGCATTCCCCCCTCCTCTCCTTCCCCTCCCCTCCCCTCTTGCGCCCCGAACCCTATTTTCAAGAAGTCGCTATTTTTTTTCTTTCCAAAATGGCTCCCTTTCGGGTCTTAACAACACGCAGCAAGACTCGCATATGTCGCGTGGGGAGCGTGGGGGGCTCTTTCCTCAAAGGCCTCACGTTACAGGAGGAGACCTCTTAGCTGGGCTCCTTCCCTGGCGTGACGTCGTGGTGTGTGTGTGTTTTTTTTCCTGAGGCATTCGTGGGAGTGGCTCACTGGGGAGGCCTTGTGTGCTGGCAGTATGGTGTGGGGTTCATTCGCTGTGGAAGGAGATGGGGGTCATTTAAACTGAGGCGTGGGGAGGAGAGACGGGATTCGTCTCTCACTGAGGCGCCCCCCTTTCTGTGAGTGAGGCTAAGGAACTAAGAGGCCGAGGAGTGAGGGGAGAGCGGCGTTCTCCTTCCAATGGCGTGCCTTGCAAAGACATTACAGCGCCTGTGGGTTGGGCAGCGGGTGGGTGGGTGGCGGGGAGGCTCAGGCCAGGCTCCTTTGCCTTCCACGCATCTTTCCATCCTCCTCATCCCCAAAGAAAGCGCGCCAACCGCGAGAGAGGCAGCAGAGGTGACCTTCTAGGAGAGACCAGACGCTCTTCTCCGCACTGGCGACCCTGGGCGGGTGGCATCCTTTCCCACACACTGAAGAAGAACCAAAACACAATCCGAGAGGCAGAGGCGGCAGAAGCAGGAAGCGGGGTTTGCGGGGGACCCATTGCCCTCCTCGGGGGGGCCCCTTTGTGGCCGCCCCTTGCCCAGGCTCTCCTTTAAAAGAAACGCAGCAGACACAGCCCGGATCCGTGTTACGTTACCTTCCTGGCGCTCTCTCTCTCTCAATCCCTCTCTCTCTCTCTCTGCTGGTGATTTAGGCTCGAGTGGGCTGGCTCTAGTCCCGCCGGCTCCGGCTCCCTGTCAGTGGGTGAATGGGATTATATATTTATTTCCCATGACGTGGCCTCCAGCAGCAGCAGCAGCATAGGGAGGAGGAGGAGGGGGAGGAAGGAGAAGAAGACGGAGGGCCTTGGCTGAGGCCGTCTGAGGAGAGAGTCAGTCAGAGGCCGAAGAGGAGGAGGAGGAAGAGGAGGCGGAGGGTTGAGGTCTTCCGACCTGTTCTCGCCGGCTGCTGCTTGCTGCTTTTGTTGCTGCCGCCGCTTCTCCTCCTCAGAGGGGTCGCTGGATGTCAAGGGCAGCAGCCGGGCGCTGGAGTGGCATCACCAACCGCCTGGGATGCGTGGGGCGGAGGCGGCGTCGTCGTGGGGAGGCGCCTGCAGCCCAGCACTTTCCTTCCTTGGCCATCCGGCAGCTCTTCGCTCCGGGCGGAGAGAGAGAAAGGGGGGAAAGGGAACTGCCCAGGAGGCCCAGGCGCCTCTGCTTGACCCTGGGCCCCAAACCAGTTACTGGAGAAGAGAGATATAGACATAGACATAGATTTAGACAGGTAGGTAGATGGTTAAATATGATTTTAAGGAAGGGTTAAGTGCTGAAGGCTGCTGTCCTTATTTTTTTATTGTTTTCATTTCAGCTGTGAGCAGCTGTGAAGAGGTCATCCAAGAGTACACTGCAGTTTCCTCTTCAGCTTCCCCTTTTCTCTCCAAATGGTGTGTGTCATTAAAGGCTATCCCTGGAAACAGCAAATAGTTTTAGAGGGCAAAGATCATGTTGGGGACTAAACACAAGCAGGCTTTCCTACATGGCAGGGGGTTGGACTGCATGGTCCTGGTGGTCTCTTTTAACTCTTTGAATCTATGGTCGCTTTCACACTGGCCATATAATGTAACAGGCTCAATGCACAACACCAGTTCACATCATAGTAAAGTAAGGTAAAGGTTTCCCCTTGACATTAAGTCTAGTCGTGTCCAAATCTCAGTTGGGGGTGTGTGCTCATCTCCATTTCTAAGTTGAAGAGTGGTTTTGTCCTTAGATGCCTCCTAAGTCATGTGGCTGGCATGACTTCATGGAGCGCCATTACCTTCCCACCAAAGCACTACTTGTTGATCAACTCATGTTTGCATGTTTTCAAACTACTAGGTTGGCAGAAGCTGGTGCTAATAACAGGAGCTCACCCTGCTTCCCAGATTCAAACCACCGACCTTTTAGTCAGCAAGTTGAGCCTGCTGTGCCACCAGGGGATTCTGGTGCACTTCATAGAATCATAGAGTTGGAAGAAACCTTGTGTGCCATCCAACCCCCTGCCAAGAAGCAGGAAAATTGCATTCAAAACACCCCCGACAGATGGCCATCCAGCCTTTGCTTTAAAAGCTTCCAAAGAAGGAGCCTCCACAACACACCGGGGCAGAGGGTTCCACTGCTTAATGGCTCTCACAGTCAGGAAGTTCTTCCTAATGTTCAGATGGAATCGCCTTTCTTGTAGTTTGAAGCCATGGCTCCATGTCCTAGTCTCCAGCGCAGCAGAAATTAAGCTTGCTCCTTTCCTCTCTATGACTTCGCCTCACATATTTATACATGGCCATCATGTCTCCTCTCAGCTTTCTCTTCTGCAGGCTAAACATACCCAGCTCTTTAAGCCGCTCCTCATAGGGCTTGTTCTCCAGACCACTTGATCATTTTAGTCGCCCTCCTCTGGACACATTCCAGTGGTTCTCATCCTGTGGGTTCCCAGGCATTTTGGCCTACAACTCCCAGAAATCCCAGCCAGTTTACCAGCTGTTAGGATTTCTGGGAATTGAAGGCCAAATCACCTGGGGACCCACAGGTTGAGAATCACTAATTTATATACTACTAGCTGTGCCCTGCCACGCGTTGCTGTGGCCTATAGTTAAACTTATCAAAGTTGAGTTAGATATCTGGACTATTATGAAAGAGAGGTACCTACCTATTCCTTCCCCCTTTTCCTCCCCCTTTCTCTCCTTTCTTCTTCTCTACCTCTTTCTTTCTTTCCTTATTTCACTACTTGGTTTCATCCTTCTCTCTTTCCTTCATTCCCTCCCCCTTTCTTCCTTTGCCTTTCTTCCCTCCCTGTTTGCTTCCTTCTTTCACTTTTTATTTCCTTTTATTTCACCACCATCATAACAATAACAATAATGCAATGCATTGCCTCTGGGACCTGACACCCAGAGGCGTGTGTGTGTGCGGCGGCGCGGAGTGATGGAGCGTGGGGTTGCGTGTGTGTGTGCAGCGGCGGGGGGAGTGATGGAGCGTGGGGTTGCGTGTGTGTGTGCGGCGGCGGGGGGAGTGATGGAGCGTGGGGTTGCGTGTGTGTGTGCGGCGGGGGGAGTGATGGAGCGTGGGGTTGCGTGTGTGTGTGCGGCAGCGGGGGAGTGATGGAGCGTGGGGTTGCGTGTGTGTGTGCGGCGGCGGGGGGAGTGACGGAGCATGGGGTTGTGCGTGTGCGTGCGGCAGGGTGTGTGTGTGTGCGGGGAGCGGCGCGGCGGGGCTTGGAGTGGGCATGGCTTCCGCAGAGGGAATGTTGGCCGGAAGGCTGTGTGCGCGCCCAGGGAACTTGTGGCTGGGCGCCAATGCGCATGCTCAGTTGTTTTGCCGTATTGTGAGTGTGTTGTTGTGTTGTTTTTCATTTTGAGTAGATATGTTTGTACCTTGTGGGTTGTGTTATGGGCATGGGAATTTTGGTTAAGTTTCGTTGGGTTTTTTTTTGAGTTTTGTTGTTTTGCCGTTTTGTGAGTGTGTTGTTGTGTTGTTTTTCATTTTGAGTAGATATGTTTGTACCTTGTGGGTTGTGTTATGGGCATGAGAATTTTGGTTAAGTTTGTTGAGTTTTTTTTAGTTTTGTTGTTTTGCCGTTTTGTGAGTGTGTTGTTGTGTTGTTTTTCATTTTGAGTAGATATGTTTGTACCTTGTGGGTTGTGTTATGGGCATGGGAATTTTGGTTAAGTTTCGTTGGGGTTTTTTTGAGTTTTGTTGTTTTGCCGTTTTGTGAGTGTGTTGTTGTGTTGTTTTTCATTTTGAGTAGATATGTTTGTACCTTGTGGGTTGTGTTATGGGCATGGGAATTTTGGTTAAGTTTCGTTGGTTTTTTTAGTTTTGTTGTTTTGCCGTTTTGTGAGTGTGTTGTTGTGTTGTTTTTCATTTTGAGTAGATATGTTTGTACCTTGTGGGTTGTGTTATGGGCATGGGAATTTTGGTTAAGTTTCGTTGGGTTTTTTTGAGTTTTGTTGTTTTGCCATTTTGTGAGTGTGTTGTTGTGTTGTTTTTCATTTTGAGTAGATATGTTTGTACCTTGTGGGTTGTGTTATGGGCATGGGAATTTTGGTTAAGTTTCGTTGGGGGGTTGTGGAGTTTTGCTGTCCCGTTGAACCAACCTAACAGATTTATATATATAGATACTCTTATTTATGCAGGCCAAAATCCCATTCGCTTTTTTAGCTGCTACACCATGTGCTTAAAAAAAAGTCCCAGGAAAGGCCAACTTCAGCCCCAAAGAGCACTGCAGCTGATCCCTGTATATCCCAGATCCAGGGCAAAATCACTTCCACAAAATCAGCTCCACACAATTGTAGACACCTTCTTCATCTGAAAACCAGTAAGGAATCTTGAACCGAGGATGCTGAAAAAAGCCCCAAAGGTATGGCCAGGCAGCAGGGGGCTAATCAACCCATTGGGAGGGGTAAATGATTACTCTCACTTACAAACTGTCATATTCTGCCTCCCCCCCCCTTTTTTTTTGTTCATCTCACATGCCTCTGATGGACTGATGCACTTCTTCCAGAAATGGAAAAAAAATACCTTCCTAACCTCAAACCAGTTCCAAATCAGATTCCAGTGTCAGTGTAGAAGTGCCCTGTGGTGAGTCAGAGCTGGTTTGAAACCAATGGAAGATAAAGTGGGCATCTTCTGACCATAACAATCTGGTCACAAGGGTATCCAGCACAACTACTATTATAGAGACTTGCCATCATCTCTCCTACTGCTGCTCTAGCTTGAATATCTGGCATTGGCAGACCTTAGGTTAGCTCAGAGTAGAGTAAGATCTAGAGAGACTTCATTGCCCCTTGCTGCAGCAAGCTTTCTAGAACTCAAAAAGGCATTCTCTTGTCACATTGGAAGCAGAAAATTAGTTTAGCAAGTTAGAACAGGTTATGTGGCAAAAGGAAAGAGATGGAAAGTACATAAGGAAATGTCCTTTCACATCTGCTTTGAGATAATTCAATGACACTGTCTGGTGGTAGGCCCATCTAGAGGCCTATACACACACCTACATTCACAAAAGGATGTGGATCTTATGAGTGTACTTCCAAGAATAGAAGTGACATGCACAAAAATACAGTGTACAGATAAGGCTTCCAGGGCATTGTAGGTTGATGCCACTGACAGCAGGATAAGATAATAGGGAGGATCGCAAAATAACACTGTAAAGAGGATTGGACTTGTTCACTTCTCAGAGGTCACAGAGGACATGCTGACCTCTCAGAGGATACAATGATAGTGCTATGAATCTGCATTAACTGCCCTGGGAACAACCTATGGAATCCTAAAATTCATAGTTTGAGAAGACATTAGCTGGTGGCTTCTGTGTCCAAGCAATGGTGAATCCATTTCAGGTTGTGTTAGCTTTAAAGGAGCTATCCAAAGTGCTGAAGTCATGTGGTAGGAATAGTGTTTCCAAATAGCTCTCCAAGGTGCTAATTATGAAGAGCTCCTTAAAAGTCTGTATTAAAATCTGGTGTGGGTTTACTGATCCACTGATATGGGGAGTCACCAGCTACCATGATAGAAATCTTTGGGTGGGAATTTTAAGCACTTCCCTTGAAATTGAAATTTCATGAATTCTGTGGTATGTTGTCATGGCATCTAAAGTGGAACCTCCTTACATTGATTGTGTAAGGTGAAAGAGTACAGAGGCACTATCCTGGGGAAGAAAGTGAAGTATGGCTTCTCCTTTCCATGTCCAAAACTTTATGTTGCACCAGTGAGAAAGAGAGGGCAAGGAAAGGCAGTTGCAAATACATTCTCTGGAGGCAGCACAAAAGGCTGGTACAGTTCTCCACATGGTGCATAATGTTTGGAGCAGGATACAAAATGGGATTCCGGAGTTTCTTAGCTTCTTTTTTGATGAGTTCATCTTCCAGTTATGTTGCAGTATATGTGGCAGGGTGAAGAAAAGCTAAGTTGCTATTGCTATTTGACATTTTTTTTTATTTCCAGAAACAACTGCTAATAGGGATGCACATGAGTGCTTTTCCATCACAACTAAGTGGCAGCATGAATCCTCCTTTTTAAAATATGCTTAATACCATACATCTTGTGTTAAGCCAAATGCCATTTCACCAAA